ACAAATTTTCTACAATTAATATCTCGATAATTATTGCAAATATCACAAAACGATATAGGACTTTTATGTTCACATCAACCCATTCTACGTCCCTCCAAAATGCCCGGAGGAGAGTGTGAGACACTCTATATATATATATATATATATATATATATATATATATATATATATATATATATATATATATATCCTCCTATAATTTATAAATTATCTGCACTTACATTCAGCTTACGATCGGCTCTTGTAGAGGCCTTATCTTTCTCTTATTTGGATTTTCACTTAGAATCGCACGTTTGAAAATTACACTTCTAACTAGCACCTATAATTATTTTAGGAAGTCGGACTGGATCCCATGTAGATTCGAAGAAACTTTCTATGCGGGTTATCGTACACGTGTATACATAAATGAAAGACGAAAGTCCGCGCTACAGCGACGGATATTACAAATTGACAAGTTCGTGAAACGATATCGGTATGATCACAATACGATTGTTGCAGTTCGAAAATTAGTGAACGGAAGCCGTCGACAGATCGTTAGAAGAACGAACAGACGTGGCTAAAAACGCGCATACTGCCCGCGAGCCGCTTCTCGGCCGGGCCGGCGGATATTTCTCTTTATAGGACATCGATCTCTCATCTAGCCGTCGATTTCTCTTTTTTTCCGCGCAGTTTGAGAGCATTTCCCCTTTCGCTCTACGGCTGCTCCGTGCACTCCGGTCATCGACTATCGCCGGCGTTGTTTAGAGGATAACAATACGACTCGTACGATGGTAGAACTAAAGCGGCACGTACCTATCTGTCTGAATATCTACCTGCATGCCTATTTGCCAGATCGAATCGAAATATCACGTTATATTCTGTATATTTATTGCGTACGCGTAATAAATCATACGGAGATGCACGGAAAAAACTCAGTTGGATTAACGTGACATGTTGGTTTGGTCGAATAAAATTTAGTTGAATTAAACAGAATTTCTGGTTATTATAATGGAATATTCTCGTAGTCAACCAGAACATTTAGGTCTAACAACGGTTAGAGCTTGGTTTATTTATTACTGTAATATTCTAATATTAATCGTTGATTACAACACAGATAAACAATATATAATGGATCTATCAATTGGTGAGTGGCATGGTGCATAGATAGACGATTCACAATCCGGAGGTCCGGAGTTCTCGAATCCAATCAGAGTAAAAAAGGATAAGTTCTCCACAAATACAATATAACATCAAATCAATTAAATTCAAGCAAAATGATTATACACTAATAAACTTTAAGAAACAACTTTCAATTAAAAATATAATAAAATTTCCAGTAAGAAATATGAATGTAATTTTCTTTAGTTTGGTTAAAGTATAACCAAATTTGTCTACTTACTATAATTAAAAATGTGACTCGTTCATATCTCACCAAACAGTCCAATTGATGTATCCCGAATTTTGACTAATTCAACCAAGTTTTTCTTTCCATGTGCGTTATTTATTTTTCTCTTTAAGGGAGTATTCTGGTATAACAGGTAAAAAAATCGATTTTTGTTTTTTACATATTCTTAATATTTAAAGTCTTGAAAATATGTCCCCAAAATCATTTGTCAAAATTCGATGTTTTCACGAAGTTATAGACGAAGATAAAAGTAAACGGAGAATGCGGAGCGCGCTCGCTCAGCGCGCTCAAATGTGTAGAAAACGTGCAAATCCGTGCAAGTTGTTATCGGCACAAACCCTATGTAGGCCGATACATGCTTTGCATTCTGCTTATGATTTGTTAAAAAGATGTCTTGGGGGCAACACACAAAATAACAACGAGAGCTTCAACGTCTGCGTTTGGATGTTGACTCCAAAGCACGTACACAGGGGTTCAAAAATTATAGAATTAGTGACTTATGTGGCGGCTGCAGTATTCAACGAGGGATACAGCTCAATTTTAAAATTAATGAACGTCCTTGGTATTGTTGTGGGCGTCTAAAGTAAGAAGTTCGCCGAAAACCGCGATAGACAGTGCTGCGAACGTCCGTGCGTCAATATCATCAAAATAAGGTAGAATGACAATTAAAAAAACAACAACGAGAGTTCCTTGAAGAAGCAGAGAGTTTATTGTATGGCTCCGGAATAGCAGACTAGCCGTAAATTGAAAACTTTTTGCTCATTACTTGTAATTGTTTCACAAAACTTTAAACACTTTTTTTCTCGAAAGCAATTCTTTCGGTATTGCGTGCAAAGTTTTTCAGAGACTACTCAACTGATTTGCTTGAACCAATGATTTTTCGAAAATAGATAGTTTTTCTTGGAAACTGACGATGGAAAATTTCAAAAAATATTAATTATTATTATTTTTAGGGCATATAGAACTTGAAATAAATGTATGAAAAACCGATTTCACTCTTCAAAGTGTCATCATTTTGTCAATTTTCAGTATTTTTAAAAAATTCTTGTGTCAGCTTCCATAGAATATTGTTTTATTTAAAAATTCGTCATTGTTATTGATTCCAGATATGTAACTTGGAAAAAAACTTGCATGCAGCACGAACCTGTCGCGGAAACGATACATAATTGAGGCTGATGTTTCATTACAACTTGTAAATAATTTATTATTGCAAAAATATAACAAAGTAGTTTAAACATTGCTAAATATTATGCAAAATGTCCCGTTTCAATATTTCTTTCCATTTCTTCACAAAAAATTTCCGAATACCAACTAGTTTTTAGCCGCTAAAACCAGAATACTCCCTCAAAGTTATCACTTCGGCTGCTGAAGACACAATACTTTATGCGTGGGCTCTCGTGTACTGAGAAAAACATGTTTATGGCTATAATTGTATGGTAAACTAATCATATAGTTAGAGAACCTATTTCTGTAATAAACGCTATTATAATATTGTTAATAACAACTTTATATCCACATATCGCTACTACTTTTTTATTAGAAATAAGAAATTAGAAATTAGAATAAGAAATTAAAGATGCAGTTGACATAAAAACGATTATAATGAGATCAACATTTATTTCTTTCAGCGTAAATGTATCAGAAAAAGAAATAACTTTTGAGAAATCGAAAGATGACGAACTGAGACAAGTGAAATCCATTTATTATTGTCTCCAAGAAACGTGAAAGAACATGAATGTAAGTATCCATTGCAACAATTAATAACTGTTCTTTGTGTTGAATATATAAGCTGAAGAAATTCGTCAGATGTTTAACTGTATGTGGTAAGTATAATATCTGTTGTGTACTTGTAGATTAGGTCAAACTGAGTAAAAGTCTTGTTTTGCTAATAATCCCATAAAATTTAATTGTTAACTAAAGAAAACATACGAATGTACAATCACGTACGATGTGGTGGACGAGTTCTGTAGAAGCAATGTCCTAATCCTCTACTCGTCGTTTGCAACGTCATTCCGCTCCTCGCTGGCAGCCAATTGGCGAGCGGCGAGTGAAGTATCTAGGCGCCGTCATTATAGAAATAGTCTACTGCATCGCGCACGATCATTGGCCAGTCTTTCTTAACTAAAAACTCAAAAACTTACGTGGTTGTTTGCAAAATGGTAGAAGACTTTTTTACTCAGTTTTTATTCAGACCTTATATAGAGGAAACCGGGACTTGATATAGACTAAAATAGGATGCCTTATATTTTAGAATTTTGAAGTTACAACTTCTTAGACAACTAATTGTTGCGACTGACCATATAAACATGATAGAGGCAATCTTCTTCTACGTATTAATGCCTGCCACGACCCTGTTAATCGTATAGTTTGTTTTCTAATAATCAAAATACGAACATGTAGCAATATAGCCATCTTGCTCTGATATCAGATTCCGTTGTCCAGTAACGCAGGGTAAGAAGGCCATATATAAAATATGTATCTTGATTAGTAGTTTTAGAGATTCGACGAGAGGTCTTCACAATCCTCCCGCTGAACTTTAATTATGGATCAACCTTACTCCGTCTGCCCATATACTTTATTTCAATCATTTTATGAATGAAAATTGTATTTATTGCCAAAGATAGTATATAATATGTTGCAGGAAATTTCATTCTAGTTAGTAATACATCACTTAATTTTATTCAGTCACAATGGAGAATATTAATACAAAATTTCTGGAGGTTCGAGAATTTACTTTGCTATTACCAAATCAGTTTTTTCTATTTCTTAACTGTAATATTATTCCGATTTTAATGAAACTCAGGGAAAAGTACTTGTGTTCTAAAAGAGCTATTTCGCAATTTTGTATGTACTATTCCTCCCAGGATACTTAAAAATACTAAAAATACTAAAAAAAGCATATGAACAACATATCTCTGAGGTCATATAGTCTCGGTCTCCCTACACGACGGATATCGCACTTAATGTCTCACACTTTGCATATACTTTGTATATATGACCATGGCGTTGAAAAAGTTAATCCTTTGAGTTGAAGTCATGTCTCTCAAACATTCTGCTTTTGCGAACCGAATGTATATGTTGTTAATCACAAATCTGATTATCTCGTCATGCCCTTGAAAGAATTCTGTGAGATTATGTAAAGTAGATGTAAGTCAAGTTTTGCGATGTATACTGTCGTTCTTTCCGAATATGGGCTTAAATAGGTGCGTACGTCTTACGAGTTGCAAATAAATGTCAACGAAAGGATTTAATAAACAGGTAGCCGGCGACATTTGACGATTCGCTGAGCGTTTAATTCGTTGAGTTTAATGAACGGCGACAACGACGCAGTGAGTGCTCGATTCGCCGATTTTCGACGGTGCCTGGAGCACACCACGCGATCGCTCGGAAAGCACATCGATAATCCGTCACCGCGAGGCGACGCGACGCTCACAGTCCACATTGCCATAAAGCCAGGCTGCGAAACGCCGCGCGAATGTTTCAGTTTCGTGAGTATAGACTCGGTAGGAGTAATAATCGTATACCGTTACTCCTCTCTCTCTGTCTCTCTCTTTCTCTTTCTCTCTCTCCAGCGCGCGTTCTCTCTCTCTCTCTCTTTCTCTCTATGTGTATGTCTCTTTCTCTCTCTCTCTCTCTCTCTCTCTCTCTCTCTCTCTCTCTCT